CATTTTAGCAACACATGAAGAACCCTGCTTATGTATACTCACAGTCAGCCTTCCACGGTAGCTGCATCTTCGCCCCCTGCATTCAGCTGGGTAAATCTTTGGATCCTTACAGAGGCTTCCCTTCGGAACCATGGGTTGATTGATAACAGCGTCCAAAATTGTAAATGCTAAACGAGAGTCTCTAAAAGTAAACTCCACGGGTTTCATGGCCTAAAGGACAGAGGAGAAAAGACAGAGAGAAATCAGTCTTATTTTTTTTTTTTATATTTTTTATTTACAACAATCCAAAGTTAATGCAAATCCAATTTAAATAATTCAAAATGGCAAAGTTAAGAATAGGGTGATCAGGGGTGCCGTACCTTTCCAAAAGCAATTTGGTAACCAGAATGGCCGAAGCGCGCTTTCCCTATCGATTCCTTACAGGCGGAGTGCATTTGGTATCACTTCCCCTGTGACAGGAGCCGGCGCTGTAGAGGAGGCATCGGCTTACGCAGCTCTGCTCCCTGCGCTGCCGCCTCGCTTCCTCTAGCGCCCTCTTCGTTGGCACCGCTGATTCTCTCCTGCCTCTCTTCAATTTCCCCCTTATGCCACCACCGGCCCTGGGAATGGTCACAACTAGGTCTAATTCTCAGGGTAGGTCTTATATTTTAGCAATTCCAAAAATAGTACTAGGTCTTATTTTCAGGGTAGGTCTTATTTTTGGGGAAACAGGAAAAATTATATATATAGATAGATATATCTATATATATATATAATTCTGGATAAAGTAGTGAAGGGTGACAACCTCTGCTAAGATTTTACTGCTAATAGAAGTATGAAAAAATGTCACCGCTCACAAGTTCCTGCCTCTGGAGATCAGGTGGCAAACAAGAACCCAGCTACACTCCACAACTTAGATGTCAGTATTTACCAGCTTTATTAAAACACAGACATGGCACACTGCTGCCCTGCCTTGGACTGCCAATCTCAAATGAGTTTCACTCAATGAGAAGTCTCTGTGATCAAACCCACATTGATTGAAACACATTTGAGATGGGTGGTGCAACTTCCTGCTGACCGTGCCTCTGCTGGGGATATTCTCCCTCTCTATTTGTCCTGGTAACTATTGTCATTGGAATGGAAGGTGAGGGAAAATAAAAGTGGGGTTGTCCTAATACTCCATGTTGCATCTCCAGGACCGGAAGAGACATCTCCCCAACAACAATAAGTCAGGGGTTTTAAAGGAGAACAATGAGACTGTCACAGGTCGGCTCAGTAGATCGGGAAGTGAGCGAACACATACCGGCGTTCGCTCACTTCTCGATCCTGTCACGGCAGAGAGCCATGACAGGGGAGTGACTGGATTCCCCCTTCCCCGCTCCGATCCACCAGCGCTGACTGGCGGAACAGACGGGGGAGGGGGCGGGTACAGCTGGCTCTGCCTCTAGATAGGCAGAGCCAGCTGTCAATCCTGCAGCTGGGCGGATTCAGACATAATTGTCGGGATCCGTTTCAGCTGCAGCGTCCGAGTAGAATGCGAGCTGCAGCTCGCGGTATACTGAGCTTTGGGTAACGGGAGGACGCTAGTTTATGTCCTCCCGTTACCCTTCGTAGAACTATGGGGAAAAGCCCTAACCCCATAGTTCTCCTTTAATTATTTCCTACACTAGCAAAATCAGCTATAGACACACGTGCACGGATCCCATCCTGATCGGAGCAATAAGGATTGGATGTCACCGAGTGTCCATCACTCATGGAGGAAAAGAAACTGAAATGGCCGGACCCCATGTTGGTCTATGGGGAATCAGATGTAAACGGACACGAGTCTGATTACCACCAATCTGGCATGATCACGTCTGTTGGAACACTATTCTGCTTTTCTGAACCTGGCTGGAGTCGATGGGGAACCGGGTGTACACAGACGCCCATCCGTTTACACACGGCTGCCCAAGGACTAGCATTGGGCATCCGATCAGGTCCACCTGAAAAACTGACAGGCGGACCTGATCGGACCTCCCATGTGAAAGGGGCCTAATGCAGTCAAGTGGTATATCCAGTATTGACTATGCCTCTTTATCTGTTAGGGGTGCAGGAAGGAATCTTATACACAAGTACCGTGTTTCCCCGAAAATAAGACCTAGCACGATCTTCAGAGATTCAGAGAGACCTACCCAGAAAATAAGACCTAGTTTGGTGGTAGGGGACTCACATGTATTGCTGCATCCAAGCAGCCAGCCAGGGGTCCGAGAGTAATGTTCAATTATATGAGCAGCTGGTCTCCTGGAGTATGCATGTATAAAACATGTCAAGGACAGAAAAACATTTCATGCATACACGGCTGGGACTGACCGCCACGCCGCAGCTACCGCATACCTGTCTGCCTCGGCTTTTGCTGCCGCTGGGCAGTAAAACAACAACGTTTCCCAGCAGACAGCCGCACAGCGCGGCATGGCCAGTGGGGTCGGAGTGAGGTCAGGTGAGGTGACTGAGCCTCAGTCACTGAGGGAACTTGAGAGGTGGCTCCCTGGACGGTATCAGAGAGGAGAGCTCCTGGACAGCTGCAGACTGCAGATACTGTGACACTGTGTGTGACAGTATTTTTTCACTCCCCTTCTTCTCCATCTTCAATAATGAATCCAGATCAAACAAATATACATTTACGTTTTTGCCCAGACACTTACAATAATCATTTTTCTGAACAGCAGACTCCAGAAACTATTCATCTACTAGCTTGGAGAAGGGAGGATAATGAGTTGGGGGGAGAGGAGTAGCTTGATTTGCTGTATCTGTGTGTTTGTGGACACACACACACACACACGTGACTGCATAGCAAGAGCCCGGGACCAGCACAGTGCTTCACTGACAGAGGATCAGAGGGAGGTCGGTACACGAGCTCCCTCCGGTCCCCTCTCCGCTGTCAGAATGCGGAAGTGTTGTATATTACATCACTTCCGCATTCTCGTGTCACTCTCCAGCTTCAGACGCTGGAGAGAAGCTGATGAAGCAGATCTCTGCTTCATCAGCTTCTTCAGGGGGGTCCTAGGTGACATTAGGGGTCTTGGAGACCCCTGATGTCTCCATAAAGAGGACCTGTCACTTCTTTTGCTATCACATAAGGGGGTTTCTTAGCCCCCCTATCTAATAGCAATAAAGTTAAGTGAAAAAAAAAAATAGGAAAAAGAATTTCCCCCCCAAAATTTAAAGTTACACATAAAAAAAGAGTTTAAAAAATCAAAAACATTTTTTAAAGTCCCTACCCATACATACACATCAGAGGCGCATGCCTGCGAAAAACAACGATTGCGCCCATTACCCCCACGTTACATATCGCCGCGAACGTCGCAGTGAGAGCAATAATTCTAGGGCCATCAATCACTGCTAACACTAAACTGATGACCTGCAAAAGCTTTTAAAGCATCGCCTATGGTCAATTTTGGGTATGGTAGTTTTTTGCGATTTCACGGGTGCACGCATTTTTAAGCATGTCATGTTTGGTGTTACCCGACATGACCCCGTCTTTTATATTTTACCAAAATAATTGGGTAATAATAATTGTTTCCTAACAATGTAAAAAAAAATTTCAACATTTTCAGTAATTTTCCAGAAATATAGTAAAAAATAAATACCCCTGTGGTTAAGTACCACCAAAAGAGAGCTCTATCTGCCCCCCAGAAAAAATGGTATTAAATTTATTTCAGTACAGCGTTGCATGACGGAATAAATGTCAAAGTACCGCAGCGCTCAATACTGAAAAAAGGCCTGGCCAGGAAGGGGGTGTAAACACCTGGTCAGCAAGTGGTTAAAAGAGGAAGTCAGGACCAGTGCTCAGGTGACCAGCTGATTCTGCAGAAAACTACATTTTAAACATCAAGAAGCAGCATCTTTTGTAAGTGATTTCATCAGCATAAGAAATAGTTTAAAATCCTTTTGACTTTAATATCACTTAAAAGAATCAGTAGCTGTTAGCAGCTATGCACAGACAGCACACAATAAAATAATATAGTCTTCTCTGCTCTCTTTCCTCACCTGCACTGCCTGGAAGAGCCCATCTGTCATGGCCTGGTTGAAGGACTCGACGTGAGCCCTAGTGATGTCCTGCAGAGGAGGGTGCTGCTTCTTCCCAGGCTTCCCATACTCGGGGTCTGTCAGTTTTTTCAGACTAGGCTCCCGGAGCAGTTTATTCGACTTCAGTGTCCAGTCCATGGTGTCCCCCTCCTGACTGGAATGGCACACAGTACCACTTTTCCCTATACACACAGCCTAGTATTCAGCAGCACATGTGCAGGCAAAGGGGGAGGCAACTGTACACATGCTGCCGGTGACGTACTTCCGCCAGTCTCGGCACTTCCGGGGGACCAGCAGCTGTCAAGCGACCTGTATCATCGTCAGCATCTGCTTTCACATATGTCTGCAGCCGTGCATGATGTGGTGAACGGTGGCGGCCATTTTATTGAAGACTCAGAGAAAGGAATCCTCTATTCAGGCGAGGAGAATAAAGGATGTGGCCATTTTGTTGTAGACCACATACCTAGAGACTATAACTTGCTTTCCACAAGAAACAGGAAGGAAGCGAATTTCCAGTCATTCTTAATGTACACACCGCCGGTGATCGATCAAAACTACGAACTTATCGAGTTGTGGGACTACGATGTTTGCACACAAAACATGTTGTGCACGAGCGCCATCCACGGCATTGCCCTATACACATAGACCGCAGCAATAAAGTAATAAAAAGATGTAGGATGACACTAAGCCAGCGCGTTCTTTATCTCAGGTGCCCCACTCAAGCGGCGGCCATATTGAGTGGGGCACCGGAGATAAAGAACGTGCTGGCTTACTGTCATCCTACATCATTTTATGACTTTATTGCTGCGGTCTATGTGTATAAGGCAATGCCGTGGATGGCGCTCGTGCACAACATGTTTTGTGTGCAAACATCGTAGTTCTGAGGAAACCGGAAGTCATGCGGTCCCACAACTCGATAAGTTCGCACTTTCGACACATCACCGGCTTCCTGCAGCCTGGCAGTGACTTGTGGCACTTCACTCCATAACACTGTGGTAATGTATTACGTGTCTTTTTGTTATACTGAGGCACATTTCTAATTTTTCCTTGGATCTACTCTGCAGGATCGGCAGAAATACTTCGGAATTATAGCTGTCAAAACCAGAAAGGCTAGAAATGTAAAAATTATTTTTTATTTTGCATTTTATTTATGTTACTTTAGCACTTTATGTTTTATTTAATATACCGTGTTTTATTTGTTATATTATTTTGTATTTTTAGTTTGTAGACTTAAGATTTGTTTATACTGTTTTAGTGCCATCTAGTGGTGACTTTATAAATCTATCAGGCACCATCCTCACCTATTTGAATTATAATTGCCTTGTTTGGTTTCTCTAAGCCTGTCTATAACTATATCTGTTGCCAAAACCTTTTTATAAAAAACTTTGCTGCACAGATTCACTCTCTCTCTTTGTTTCTCCTGGTGACCAATGTCACCGCAGCAGAAAGTGAGCTATTTTAGACAATGTCATTTTGCTCTAAGAGTGACAAATTCTCTTTAGGTATAGAAGATACACTCATACCTCATTGTAACTTTCATTTGTGTATTTCATATGTCCCAATTCAAGTAACACATTTATTTCTTGTCAGATACTTCCCGAGCCTGTGCCCATACATTTTCAATAATGATGTTGAATGGAATTAAAGCCATATTTTTTGATTTGGACAACACATTGATTGACACTTCTGGAGCCAGCAAAAAAGCAATAGAAGAGGTAAATACTAGTTTATGTAATACTCATTTTTTATATATGAATGCAAAATACAATATGTGTCTACATTCGGTGTGTTAATGAGTGAAGGTTAAAGCCCAACTCTGGGGTGGGTGTGTGTGTGTGTATATGTCTACATTCTGTGCGTTAAAGCAGAACTCCAGGGGAAAATATTATTAACCCTTGCAGTGGGGCTACCCCCGCATTGCAAAGGTTAACTGCTCATTTTGGTCTAGGGAGGAAAAAAAACAAAGTTATACTCACCTGATCCTCCAAGACAGCTTGCTTTTAGACCAGTCCCTGGAGCCTTATCTCCCTCTCCACTGCAGGGGTCTAAGGATCCTTGAGTCATCACTTCCAAGACACTGTGTATTGGACATGAGGATGACAAGGGACGCACCATCACTGCAGCATAGGAGGAGACAGGCTTAAAAAAGAACTGTGGGGTAAGTGTTTTTCCCCATAGTTCTCTTTAGGTCACGGGAGGACATATACTAACCTCCTCCTGTGACCCAAAGCTCAATAGCCCGCGATATACCGAGGGCACCGCAGCCGGACAGATCCCGACAATGCTGTCAAAATCCACCCAGCTGCGTGAGTGACAGCTGGCTCTGCCTATCTAGAGGCAGAGCCAGCTGTGCCCGCCCCCTCCCCCGTTCGTTCCTCCACTTAGCACTGCAGAATCCGAGAGGGGAAGGGGGGAGAGCAGTGACTGACCTGTCAGTGTGTTCTGCTTGCGCGTGCTCCACGGGGTGCGTGCAAGCAGAAATAAAAAAAGCTGCATATTTACGGCGTCCCGCTGGAATGAGCTTGCCGTCCGTCCGTACAATGGGCAGATAGCAAGTAGTTAAGCGATCAGAAATGTCACTTCTATTTATAAAATGAATTGTTTGTCTTATTTGCACAGGTGGTTCAATTACTTAAAGACAAAAGCCAATTTAAAGAAGATGAAATACGCTTAATATGTAATAAGTTTCAAGCAAGACTGCTTCATGAAACCTTTGACCCCTCCGAAATTACCATTGATCATCTCCGGGTGTTACACTGGGAGAAATCCATGCAGGAAATCAAGCCTGGGGATTACAAGGACTTGGCCAAAGAATCGTATGCCTTGTGGAAAACCAAACGTCTACAACTCATGACGCTGTCAGAAAGCACCAAAAACATGCTGTGTGATCTGCGAAAATCAACGCGCTTGGTCCTGTTAACGAATGGAGAGAGGCAGGTCCAAAGGGAGAAAATTGAAGCTTGTGGTGTTAGCGCATTCTTTGATGCCATTGTGGTGGGAGGAGAACATTCAGAAGAGAAGCCGGCACCATCTATCTTCCTCCACTGCTGTGACTTGGTGTCGGTAAAGCCAGAAGACTGTGTGATGGTGGGGGACAATCTGGACACGGACATTCAAGGCGGACTGAATGCTGGACTGAAGGCAACCATCTGGTTAACAAAGAATCCCCAAGTGAATAGCAATCCCAGCCCTACTCCTCATTATACTATACATTCTCTGAATGACCTACCCAAGGTTTTACAAAATATACAGTAGTTGTAATTTTTAATACAGAATATGGGAATCCCCTTTATGTCTGTGCATATTTGCACAATAGTGTGGCCCACATAGCAGCTGATCAGTGGGGTCTGAGTATGAAGCCATCCACCACTCCAAATCCACACAAGAGGAAGGGCTTCCTACGTTAGCAAATCAAAAACCTTTAAACTAATAAATACAACATTGGGATTTATAACTAATCATAGACCTACAACAAATTGATCTATACCAGTTCTAGCAAGTTTGATAGTTTTGGATACAGTGGGGAAGGTTCAGAACCCCTGTCAAGTTTTAAATATTGTCTTTGTCCCCATAGAGTAGATCACTCTCCCTGTCTGATACCTGGACAGGAAGTGAGCAGAAATCTCTCTCACGGAAAGACAGAACGCTGTAAAATCCAGTTGCAAAGCTCTTAGCCCCCATTCACACTAGTGTAGCAAGCGAATGCTTGTAAAATCCCGTGATTTGACACACAATTACAAAATGCATGAAAAATGTGTGTCATATTTCAGGGCCATTCATTGTCAACAGCACCCCAAATGCATCAAGCAAGACGCACAAAGGTGTGTGACAAATACTTCAATCTCAAAACGGTGCATAAGCGTTTTGCAATACTTATTGCGTATAGGGCAGCCCGACAAGCACACAATGTCACAAGTGTGAGGGGTGTGAGGGGGGCTAAACCTTTCTCATTCTATTAGAAGCATTGATTTTTATTGCCATCTGTATTCCTGTTTAAGGGATTTCCCCTCATTTGCTTTGCTGTCAGATATATAGGAAGTAAGGAGAAATCTAGCTAAGAGATTTTGACAGTTGTTCCAACAATTCCGCATGCCATCCAAAGTTGGGTTTTAATCTACCAATTAGCATTTATTAAAGTGGACCTCTATGAATAAGGCTGTGCGTGAAACATGTGAGAGGTTGTAGTTGGTTGGGGGTGTGCAGTGCTGGCATTTGTTGCTTTTATACAGTTTTATTCACTGGTATACTGGATTTGCTGTGAATTTCTGTGAATTTCAATAAGTGAAGTATTGGAATTCTCCGGACAGTGCGGTCTGTTCGTATACTACTACATTCCAAGGTGGAGACGCACCTATTAGACCAGCACCAGGGGAGTCCTGATGGGGGCTAAGGAATTGGAGCGGTGAGATTTCCTTTGGCTCTACATTTCTAAAGGCGTCTTTGTTGTTCCTCTAAATCTATATAGGTTAAGTTCCTCTTTAAAGCCAATTTCCACCCTTGCAGAGTTATTTTAAAAAAACATGCCAGCAATGTACCCTGAGTGTACATGAAGCAGACATATGCAGCTAATGTACAGTACATGAACACAAAAAACGTATTTTTATTTCCGTATCCACATGGACATTTATGCCTCTGTGCTGTGCAAGATGTGTGTATCTCTCTCTCTCCCCCCCCCCTCCGGACAGGGTATTGTGTGTAAAGGGAGAGCTGGTGTTTAGTGATTATGTTACAATGGGTGACAGGGAGGAGGCAGCTGATTACAGTCTGGCACCCTGGTGCCTGACTGAATTTCTTGTGGAGACAATTTTGAATTTGTAGGCTTCAGGCCTAATACAACCTTTATTAAAAAAATTAAGAAAGCCTGCAATGTGAGTCATGAAAATATGTACACATATTCATCATCACTGCACCTTCTTCATTGCCACAATAAATGCTAATCACTTACAAAGGTGGAAATACATTTTAAGGGTGATATCATATGTATTCAGTTGTGTGTTTAACTGCTTGCCTGGAATTCACCTTTAAAAGACCATTTATTATTAACTAGGAAACTAGTGCAGCAAATAAAAAAAATGGAAACAGAACTAGGAAATTAGGTAGCACCAATCAAAGCATACATGTTCTTCATGATTACATTTATCATTTGAAGTTGAATTCAGTTGGCTCTTTTATTGATTTTATATTTGCAGTTATGTATTTATAAACACCAACTATTTGCTATAATAGGAATTATAATAATGGTGATGATGATAATAGTAATAATAAGCGTTTCACAATGACAGGAAACATTAAAGAACACAATATGTCCACAATCATATACCAGAGGTTACTGCAAACATTATATGAAATGTTTAAATAAATACAACCTAAATATTAAATGTCTCTTTTATGTATGTGTATGACATAATCTTTCAAATGTGGCATTTTTTTGCAATAAAAAGAAGTATAAAGCCCAGGCCAAAAAAATCAAAACGCTTTCCATTAGGCCTTGTTCACACCAAGTGCAGAGACCCGAGGAGTCTGCGCTGGATCAGAGGCCGGCACCGATGCTGAAGGGATTGCTGAATACAAGTGCAAGGAAGAAGATGATCGGAGTCCTTAAAGCAGCATGGAGGGAGGAAAACCTTTGTGACTTTAATGTCACTTTAATATCATCTTACATTCATTAGTTAAACAAACTTGTTTTTCATTTACTTATAAATAGCGTTTCTGGTCCAGTTCTGGCACAAATGTTATAAGTGCCAAAGCGTTGCATCCTGGGAAGGTTACATCAGCAGAACATTGGTGGGAAATCTCATATAATTCTATAATCTCATGAGATCTCAGGGAAAGGCATTTTCCCCCCCTGAGATGATGTGCATGGTCACATGTCTAGTCACATGTGCCAGAAATCCAGGAATTAAAGTGGTACTAAACACTCAGACGGGAATTTATCAAAACTGGAGTAGACAAAATCTGGAGCAGCTGTGGATGGCAACCAATCAGCCTCTCTCTTGCTTTCAAATCTTAACCTAAAAATAGAAGCTGATTGGTTGCCATGCACAGCTTCTCCAGATTTTGTCTGCTCTAATTTTGATAAATTCCCCCCAATGCGTTTTTAAGCTTAATGCACTGTTATCAGTCAGTGTATTATGCCCCAATATTTGTATATGCGGTAGTGTGGCCAAATACTTACAAACCTCCCCTTTTCTCCGCTGCTCGTTCTCAGCTGCAGAACGCAGTTCCTTGAACTTCCAAGTAGAAGAGGGTAATACTGAGGATGCAATGCAGGCAGAGGCGAATGCGCAGTTTAGGTCACGGGGAGGGCGGAGAGCAGCTTGCAATACTAGTCAGTGAACGCATGATGGGAGCGCACACGCAAAGACGTGTATCCAAACCTCTATTGTTAACCTTAGTGGTGAGACAAGCTTTTTACATGCTGGCTTGTGAGTGTGCCAGGATAACTTTCTACTGTTTTACTGTTTAAAGCCAATTTCATGTGCACCTTGCTGTATAGCTGGTGACGAATTGTTTAGTGTGTTTGTCATTTGTTTTGCTTGACTGATTTGGTGCAGTGATGCATGGGGGTTCTCAGCTGCCATTGTGACGTGTGTGATCCCTTGTGCGTTCCTGTGCCTTTAAGGGAGGTTGGGCTTTCTCCAGACAAACCTGCACCCAATTCTAAATCTTCTGCCCCCATGTGCTCCAAGATGGAGACTCTCATAGTTTAGAGTTAGGAACGCACTATAAGAGGTGCCTTGGCGCGGCTTTCACATTTTCTGCAGAAGACGTGTATCCAAACCTCTGTTGTTAACCTTAGTGGTGAGACAAGTTTTTTTACATGCTGGCTTGTGAGTGTGCCATGATACCTTTCTTCTGTTTTACTGTTTAAAGCCCATTTCGTGTGCACCTTGCTGTATAGCTGGTGACGAATTGTTGAGTGCGTTTGTCATTTGTTTTGCACACGCAAGGAAGACTCCATGGGCACTGAAGAAGAAGGAGACACCATAGATGTGGACAGCGGCACCAGCGGTCAGGAGCAACTTGAAAGGGGAGGAAGGAAGAAAATGTATGCATCAAGAGGCATCACATAAGGTACGTCTTTACACCTGCATTAGGGGAAACAAAAACAAAAAAGTAGGCTTTAATGTCACTTTAAAAGGAGAGCTAGTAACCTGCCTTTGTTAACATGGCCACTGTCAGAAGACTGGGAAAGAAAAGAGGAATAAGGTATGCAAAGAATACAAATCCTGCAATTAACTAGAAGTACACTATATTGCCAAAAGTATTGGGACCCCTGCCTTTACACGCACATGAACTCTAATGGTATCCCTGTCTTAGTCCGTAGGGTTCAATATTGAGTTGGTCACCCTTTACCGCTATAACAGCTTCAACTCTTCTGGGAAGGCGTCCACAAGGTTTAGGGTTGTGTGTATGGGAATGTTTGACCATTCTTCCAGAAGCACATTTGAGAGGTCAGGTACGGATGTTGGAACGAGAAGGCCTGGCTCGCAGTCTCCGCTCTAATTCATCCCAAAGGTGTTCTATCGGGTTCAGGTCAGGACTCTGTGCAGGCCAGTTAAGTTCCTCCACCCCAAACTCGCTCATCCATGTCTTTCCAGTCCTTGCTTTGTGCACTGGTGCACACCCCCAAAGGGACCACCCCCAAACTGTTCCCACAAAGTTGTGCGGATGAAATTGTCCAAAATGTCTTGGTATGCTGATGCCTTAAGAGTTCCCTTCACTGGAACTAAGGGGCCAAGCCCAACCCCTGAAAAACAACCCCACACCCTAATCCCCCCTCCACCAAAGCTTTACACTTGGCACAATGTCAGCCAAGTACCGTTCTCCTGGCAACCGCCAAACCCACACACGCCCATCAAATTGCCAGACAGAGAAGAGTGATTTGTCACTCCGGAGAACACATCTCCACTTTTCTAGAGTCCAGTGGTGGCGTGCTTTACACCACTGCTTCCGACGCTTTGCATTGCACTTGGTGATGTAAGGCTTGGATGCAGCTGCTCAGCCATGGAAACCCATTCCATGAAGCTCTCTACGCACTGTTGTTGTGCCAATCTGAGGGCCACACGAAGTTTGGAGGTCTTTAGCTATTGACTCTGCAGACAGTGGGCGACTTCTGCGCACTGTACGCTTCAGCATGTGCTGACCCCGCTCTGTCATTTTACGTGGCCTACCACTTCGTGGCTGAGTTGCTGTTGTTCCCAGTTGCTTCCATTTTGTTATAATACCACTAAAGGTGCACAGTACTGTACAATCGTACGACTTTTGACGGTCAAGCATGTTTGAAAACTTTGCTAGATCGTACGATTGTCGCAAGGTTGCTGGCGTTTCCGTCCGTCAAAAGTCGTACGATCTACACTACGGCAAATCAATTGCCGTATTTCGTCCAGGTGCTTTTGGTTAATTACGGCTAAATTAATCTTGCGATCATTGGGGCAGGATGGAGCTGGCGTACGAAAATCGTGAGACTATTCAATCATCGGACGAAAAGTTTCGTCCGATAATCGTAAGGTGTATGGGCACCTTTACAGTTGGCCGTTGAATATTAAAGGTGCCCATACACCTTACGACCATCGCACACCGGCCCGTTCCGCAGCTATCGGACGAGCAGGCTAGAAACCCGCCGCGAATCGTACGATTCTCGGCGGGTTTCTAGCCTGCTCCTCCGATAGCTGCGGAACGGGCCGGTGTGCGATGGTCGTAAGGTGTATGGGCACCTTTAGTAGCAAGGAAATTTCACGGAACACCTGAATCCAATGATTTGGAGGGGCGTCCAAATACTTTTGGCAATATAGTGTATCTGTTTGCAGATTGTCATTACTAAACATTTCTAATGGTGTCTTTGTTGTTATTGTAAAGATCTGGGTAAAGGTCCAAGTGTCAAAATTTGCAACTGCCACCATTTTATCTACAGGGTCTCTGCTTTCAGGAAACATAATTCTGGAAGGGGGGAGTTGAGTATTGGTCAGGCCTAAAATGTGGATTTTAATGTGTGCAAAAAGTGCAAAAGCAGCACTGGCAGTGGAAGGGTTAAATCTGTTTGATATATTTGTAGAGTGTAAGCTCTCAGGAGCAGGGTCCTTCTAATTCTTTTGTATGGAATTGTATTGCCTCCCTACCATATTTTGTACAGCATTGCAGAAACCGCTGGTGCAATATAAATCCTGTAGAATAATCATTGTCATTCTGGCTACATACTCCAAGTGTGAGTTTTTGGCAGCTGGTAGGCGATGCCCCACCTGCCTTATGTCACTCCATGGAATTCGCTCTGGTATAAAGTGACAAAGGAGGGCGTAGCATGGAAGGGTCTCCAGCTGTCACAGACTCGCCCTGACTGCAAGCATGCCTATTCCTTGCCTCGTTTCCCCGCCCACTGCTCCCTGACCTTGTAGCCACGCCTCCAATGCCTGGGAGGGGTATTCGCCTGGCTACGGAGGCTGAATGAATGCAGCTGCTGCACTTCCGATCTGACTGCTTCTATAGGAGATCAATACAGCAGATCCACGGGATCGAATCTGCTCTGCGCCAGTGACGCTGCCAGGCTGGAGATGACATCACACAGATCGCAGTCATGGATCTGATCGTGAAAGTGTAGTGTCGTCTCCGTGACTGCATGGGATGCTGCAAGGAGTGGACAGCCCGATCACAACAATAGCGCAGAGTTAGCGGCTTGCGTTGTCACTCTGTGGGTAGGGAGGTCAGCGATCATGTACACTTTCGTGGTGAGAGATGAGAATAGCACTGTCTATGCTGAAGTGTGTAAGATCCTCCTCTCCACGGGACAATGGAAGAGACTGAAGAGGGACAATCCCCGGTTTAATCTCATGCTGGGAGAAAGGAACAGACTGCCATTTGGGAGACTGGGTAAGACATGGCAGTGACCGCATGTATTCCTCCTGGACTTTAAATGGGCTCTCTGTTCCATCACACTGCTTAGCTGTATGTGTCATCCTCTTATTTTTAACCCTTCTTTGGCCACATGAGCTAGATTAGGAGAGTCCTGTAGGCTTACAGGGTCATGCCATTGCATGGCATATGTTCTGTACAGAAGTACAAGGAGCTGCATTTGGGTGTTGCCTGCTGCACCAAGAGGGGATCGCAGACCGTACAGCTGCAGCGCCGTCTCTGTCTGTGGTGCAGCACGTTACTTTTGAGCTTTTTTACTCGGAGAGCGAGCCAACATTTATTTTATGCAATGGTAGGGTAGAAAAGGTTGAGCTATCCAATGTGGCACGCATTGATTATCGGACTGCAAGGCCTCATTCACACTGCCATTGACAAATATGCATTTAGGGCTCATTCACAGGGGCAAGGGTCCATGGACTGTAAAAAAAATACCCAGATCTTTGCACCTAAGATTCACAAGTATTACATGCAGTGCCCCTTCCCCCACCGTGCAATTTATTGATAGGCTGTATGCTAATAAGCCATGTTCCAGTTGTATAATTGCGTACAGATGTGCGTCCCTGCATGCAGAATGTCCAGAGGTGTACATGGGATCCTGTATGATGTACCCACTCAGTGCAGCATTTACAAGCATACAGCCGCAGTGGCTGTATGCAACAGTTGTGAATCTTGGGTGAAAAGATCTAGGCATTTTTTTACGGTACATGGATGGGCTGTATGCAAAACCTGCAGCTCCGGGGAGTGGAGATCAGGCTGGTTGTTACAGTATACGGACCTCTGCGCCTGTGTGAATGAGCCCTAGTAAATCATTTCTGAGAACATATAAATGTATATAGTGATCTTTTGTGGTCCATTTTTTAAAGTGTGCGTAAAGGTAGGTAGCTCTAAACATAGGAAAACTTCATATTGGACGCATAACGTTTATACTTGCCAGATAATTTTCTTTGTGTTCAATTAGAAAGAGGTTAGGGATACAGGGAGGGTTAGGGATACAGGGAGGGTTAGAGAGAGGGTTCGGGATACAGGGAGGGTTAAAGAGAGAGGGTTAGGGATCCGGGAGGGTTAGAAAGAGAGGCTTAGGGATCCGGGAGGGTTAAGGTGCCCATACACTTTACAACCCTCGCAAGACTTTTGTCTTGCGAGGGTTGTAAAGTACTTAAAAGAACGTACGATCTGCCCATCTTGGACAAGCAGATCGTACTTGCGATCATCGCAAGCCCGCCCCCTTGAGGGGCGGGCTTAC